ATAATTGGAGCTAATAATGGACGGTTTGACCTTTCTGTTTATTACTGTACTTAATGTACTTTATAATTTAGAATGTAGAATTTTGTTCTAAAAATATTTTACAATTATATCTAAGTGTTAACAAAAAAAAAAGAAAAGTTACTAGAGAACGGTTTTGTACTAAAGTATGTATTATTTGTGTTTTAGTTGTTTTAAAGTTTTGTTCAAGTGTTCTTCAAGAATTAAATCATCAGCATTTTCCTGCCTTGATCTCGATTATTTCAGGTTAACGAAATAAGTTATACTTTTCCACTCATTTCTATTTGCATTCACACCGTTTTGAAATTATCTTTTACACAGTTAAAATATAAATTAGTTACACACGATAAACAGATAATTAGATAGTATTTACTAGTGAGTACTATTGAATTAGCCATACATTGTATAAGTTGAGAGTCATAAAATCTCATGAATATTGTGTATCTATCAAATCTTATGACTTTACCTATTACATCTAAAGAATATTTGTATCTTAACACTTTCCAAAATGTCTTCACATCCTTGAATAATATTTGACTTATTTTATTTTGAACTTAATCGCTAAAGAAAATATAAACTAATCGGTACTCGGTTAGAAACCTACCCATGCCGTGACATAATTTATTGCTTTTTAGTTCCTTCTCTATCCTTATAGCCATTCACATTCATATTTAATATTTTATTTCAAACATTGTCTTCATTCTCGAGGATGACAATGAAATACATAAAAAGTAAACTAGTTTTAAAAATTTGAGCGTCTTAGTTATATACAAAGACCAATGACGTAGCTTTCTTATTTTTGTGAGACTAAAGTGAAAATCATATATTAAACTAGACATTATTATGAAATTTCTAGAATTAAACGTCGTCTGACTGATTGACTATAACAGCTGGAATAAAATATGTTGTAATATTCATTAATTACGTTAGCTTTAATATTTTTTCTATGTAACGAATCGGTGATGTAGCGGTTCATAGTCCCTGACCTTAAAATTTAGGTGTTTGATCCTCGTATAAATATGTACATATATATATATATATATATATATATATATATATATATATATATATATATATATATATATATTTACAAATAAAAAGTGTCAAATCTCCATACTATTAGTTCTGGTGTCTGGAACTAGATGGCGCTGGATAAGATACGAGTTACCAGTAGTATTTTTTTTAATTTGAAAGCAATTGCACACAGCAAAGAGAACAATTTAAAATTTTAGAGCAAGAGTGAAGCTTAAACTGAGCCATAAACGGTACTGGTATACATTTTGTATTATTAGTGTTCTATGTTCACCTTTAGTGAACAATGTTGCCTCGAAAATTATTGCTACCAGTATTAAAACGAAGTGTAAGATAGAATTTTAAAATGCATCTCAGTGTGTGACGATATATCATTTTACGTTGCTTACTTTGTTTGGACCAAGCATATATTTCTTTTTATAAGCTATTTAGCATGCTTTCTTTATAATTCCGAGGTAAGAGTTGTATTCTATTTTTCTTGTTGGTATCTTTTTTAATAACTTCAAAAGGCAAACAAGATAATGGGTCACCTGATGGAAACTAATGATCGTTAACTATTTACAATTATATTACAACATTTCACACAATCCATTCACATTTTCTTCGAGCGTCCATCTATTTTTATACTAAACACTTTCCTTAAAATATGGCTTTCATTTCTGTGCTTGATATGACCATACCAAGACATTCTATTATTTTGCAACTTCTTCATAACTTGGTGCTTTTTTTAGACTTCCTTGTACATACTAATTACTCGTTGACTATCTACAATATATGGACAATATCATGGATATTACAGAATACACTGTTATGTATATCTATTTACTATTGTACACTCATAACAATCCTTATATGTCAGAATAGAACAGAAATAAACTTTATTTAAATAGACTTGTTTACTAGCTTTTTTAAATCCTCAATGTTTTATAATTCCACTATATTTTTGGAAATGGTAATGCGTAAAAGTTTTCATTGATATTTTAATTTATATTATGATATGTTTCGATTTCTTCATACTTAGTAGTTTTATTATCATATACATATACATATACATCTAAATACAGCCATATAAACTTAAGTAAATAGCGATAGAAATACAAGTGGAATAGATGATTGTCAATGCAAACGACTTTTGTACAAAATTTTACTATGAGCACAGAAGGTTAATGACCTTCAAACTTCAGTGATAATATTGTAATATAGAATCTAAGAATTGGTTTTAGCATAATAGTGTAAACAAGAATGTAACCTCATAGTAAGTACGTCTTATTTAGTCCTTTGTTCTTCTGCCCTTTGATCCTTCTGTCTTCTTGTCATATTTTAATTCAACAAATATAATTATTACATACAATAAATTTAATAAACAAACTCATTTTTATATATTATAATATAACTTTGAAAGTTTACTAAAGATTACCGTATCAAAAATTTCTAGATTTATGTATAAAAGATTAGATTATAAGGCATACCCAGAAAATTTCACTTAGAATTTAGGTTATCCTCCCCTTCATTCCACACGACTTGGAAATACATATATTTTTATATAAAGACTAGCTTTTTGTCGCCGCTTTTCCTGTACGTTCGTTTAGTCTTATAACACTTTTACTCACAGGTCAACTCACTGTCAGATTTTTTTATATACTGTTTTTTTACTGGCTACTTTATACATTTAGATTTATACACTGAAGAATAATGAAATTTTATAGTTACATATTATTGGTAATTTGACATCTGTTTTCAATAATCCCTTTTACTACTGATGCCTACTCAAGATTTCCTATACTCTGTGTAAGGTTGACTGGAAGAGATCTATTTTAGAGATAAGTTCGCCTTTGCTCATATTATTTTCAAATTTTTATTATTATTGTATTTCTGAGAGTCATAAATATAAATATACGAATTAAAAGAGTTTAAAATAGAGATATTGCCATATCCAAAAACTTCTACTGTTATAATTATAAAATTTAAGGGTACGAGCCTCAAAATTAAGGGTACCACGTAAGTACATTACAGTACAGATGTTACAACCCGGATAATTTCTTAATCAACACACCTTTGTTCACACTAATTGTGTCATTTGAAATTCTATTTGGCTTCAAACAAAACTGATGGAATAAAGGCGAAAATGTTTTGCAACAGATTTTGTTTATTGCCCTTATCTTTTTAATTATGCTTTGTTTATATTTTTGCAAAAGAAAAAAGTTCACATTTTAAATAAAATGACAAAGGCGTTCAAGAAATGTGATTATTTGCGAATACAAACATTTGTCTTTCAAAAATACGTTGAAATGAAAAATTTTAATTAAATTTGAAGCGATTTCGAAAATGAGAAATTTCTCAATTTGACTGTGTATATTTGTATGTTATGCATTGGCGTATTTAATAATATTTTATAGGGGAGTTGGCTGTTCATGATATTGAAGAGAGATAAAAGATTTTTTAATCATTAATAAAAATATAGATTTTTAATAAAATAGAATTGTATTTTCAATCGACGTTAAAAAGAAGAAGGTTCCCAATTCGGTTGTATTATTTTTCAATTGATGTTTTTTTTATAATTAAGTTGTGATTTATAAAAGAAAACGACATCAATATAACAAATCCAGTTATTATTTTTTAAAAATTAAACTAGTGAAACAATTTTGATAAAGTTTATACAGGACCAAACTGTTCTTATATCCTTTAATTTTTTTTTATTTTTATTTATTTGACAAAAAACACAAAGTTACAAACACAAGACACAATGGGGCCCACACTAGGCTAACCTGTATCGTAGGCACTCAACAAATATTAATAAATCACAATGTGTTATAATTTTCCAAATCGGTTTACATCTGACGCAGTTAGGAGGTGATAAAAATATTAAAAAAAAAAAACAATACAAACGAATTAGTCCTCTCGTAGACAATACTTCTGACTAACACACTGTTGCGTCATTATACCGTGGTGTCTGTCCTTGTGATCACCGGACGACTTTGAAATATCAAAGAACATATTATTACCTTTCGTTTAGACGGAGTAGACTATAGTCCATGTGACCACGCAAACAAGCTTTACAGTGGAGTTACGCGGTCAGTGGTAACCCAGTATGAGTTAGTAATATCTTTAGTGAGTTTATGATATATAAACGAATTAAGAACTTCCTTCTTTATGAAGTCGGTTAAAAAATAGCGTATAGCCTTCTTCATCCAGTGAGTTCGTATATACCAAATTTCATAGTGATTGGTGAAGCTGTTCAGGCACTATGAGATAACAAACAAACATACTTAATATTTATACTATTTTTATTAGTCATTGATTATTCTAAATCGATTTTTATAATTTTGCAATCAATAGTGTCTGCTCTAATTATTAATTTTGTCTATTCTTTCTTTGAGGAGTAAAAAAAATATCAGCTGTAAAATAAAACCCACCTTAAGATATATAATTAGGAACCTCTTACTTATAAAATTCGCTTAATAATGACACAATAATATTCATTCATTTTTTCATTTTCATTTAAGAGTTTCCTCTTGTCGGTCCAACTAATTCATGCATCTTCCTCCAGCCAGCTCTATCCCAGGCCATATCCTTTATCTCCCTATACGACATGACGCCTAGTGTTTTCTTTATCTGTCCCATGTAGTTAATCCTCGGTCTTCCTCTTCCTCTTTTGCCCTCTATCTTTCCTTCTATTATGCTCTTAAAAAAATCGTCATGTCGTATAAGGTGGCCCAGCATTTTGCCTCTTCTATTCTTTATTATTTTAATCAATGTTCTCTTCTCGTTTACTTATAAGTAAGTAAGTAAGTAAGTTTATGTATAAGTAAACGAGAATATTCATTAAAATCTGTGAAAAAAGATTTGGCATTTGAAGGAATGAACATAAATTACTACGGTGCCCCCAATATCATAATACTGTACTTATCATAAAATCGTAGTGACAATAGCTCTTTCTCTCTCTGTTACAGGTACAGCCCACTACGGGGAAGACAGTGTCGGCTCATTTCCATACTTCGAGTACAATGTTCCACGCAATGTGACCACGGTCGTTGGGCAGACCGCCTTCCTGCATTGTAGGGTTGAACAACTTGGGGACAAGGCGGTAAGTATCATGTATACATATAATAGCTTTTACCCTTAACTTCATCAGTGTCATCAGGATATATTGATGGAATAAATAGTATATTAGATAAGTCTTCTTCATACTATATAGAGATGAGAGATATATATCAAAACTGTCAAACACAACAAGTTTGTAAAAATAATTAAAGATTATACAGCACGAAACAAAAGCCGACTTCAACTGTGTCAAATCTCGTTATTTTGGTCTAAAAACTAAATTACTAACCCGATTTTGATAAAATTTGTACGGGACTAATCTATAAGTATATATTTTTAAATAATAAAATAAATTTCAAAATCGGTTTAGAGCTGATGGAGTTATGAGGTAACAAACATGAAAAAATACAAACAAATTAAAAACCTTTCTCTTTTTGCAGTTAATAATAACACAGAACTGTTTTCTATCTAGCATGTGAACATAACGTATGTTAGAAAGAGACAGTAGCTGTTCTTTACTGTAGAACAGTCATCTATGTCGAAATAATGTTTCGTTATAACATTTATGTAATTTTAAAGTAGTCTGTTATTTTGGAATAGGCCAATAGATCAGTTTTTATATTGGACCAAGAATAGAAGCAACAGATTCCTCATTTTACCAGTTTCAAACCATCTCTAACACTATATTATGTAGTATGTGTATACTAAACAAGACGATTAATTTAAACATTAAAATGCTAAGAAGTAACAAACGAATTCACATTTATAGTTTTATTTTTTATGTACACAAACATTGTGCTAAAAGCATTTAATTTTAAACGTAATTAAGAAAGCTTATTTCTAATACAAAAAAAAATCAGCAAACCGTTTCATGTAATATAAACTATTATTTAAAAATTTAAATTAAAAATTGTAGTAAAAAATAGCTGTATTCTGCGGCTTCGTCCTTATGAATCAGTACATAATGTATCTTATATGCTAAGTTAGGATATAACCTATCCGATTACGAAATTTTATTCAAATGCCTTTAATAGTTTTTACATGAATGAGTAACAAACATCCATCTATCCATCACTACAAAATAACAAAAAATAACAAAATGGTGTGATAAAAAATTTACATATACCTTTTTAATATGATTTTTACACCTGTTATCCTCCTAGAGACATTTATCTTTTAAAATGAAGCAAAATATTTAATTTTTTTAAATTCCGAAAATGCTGAAACACCTACATTACTCTTTAATTTAATAAAGCTAGATGCCGAGAAATAGAAATAAGTACAAAATAGACTTCACGTCGTTTTTTCTAGAAATTTATTACTTAAAATCTTAGCTATTTTAAGAATTGTCCGTAATACTGTGATATTTCTGAAGAATTAGGTCTCTTATTCGAGTATAATGTGTCACGTAACATTTCAAAGTAACCTTTTTTTAGATATTGCGTTAAATATTAATATATCTTGGGTTTGGTATATAAAAATAAACTTAGATGCTTTATCAGCTTATTTAATATATACAACTTAATAAATCTGTATTATGTAGTTTGATAAAATATGAAAAAATATATATGATAAACTATTTATTTATACTTCATTGTACACAGATTGCATTCTTATAATTTATTTTAAATAAAGATGTATAACAGGCAAACTTAACTCTATAAAACTTCTCTTCCAGCTAACTTTGAGTGGAAAGGAGCACTAATTACCAACCAGCAGTGTTTTATTTTAACAAAATTTTAATATTATATTTTTTTTCAATTTCTATTTCTTCTATATATTTTCCAATAAAGCAATTATTACGCTTAACAAAAACAAATAATAACAAATCTCTTATTATAAATTAGAGCTATCAATGAGTTACAAACGAATATAAATAACAATTGAAGAGAAGAAATTAATCCTTACTAATATTATAAATGTGAAAGTGAGTTTATTTGTTTGTTTGTAATTAGCGCCTTAAGGGCTTAATCAATCACATCGACTATCGAATTTAGTATACAGGTAATGGAATGGAAAAGAACATAAGCTACTTCTTTTTCCAGTCACGCAGATAAATTCGTTGGTAAAAGTTAGTCTATTCAAAATACCGGAATTCTGATATTGTTTTTGTACTTAATTTATATAATTGTAATTGATAGCATCATATTTTTAAAAACATTTATTTAAAAAAAAAATTAAATCATTTTAATTTAATCCATTGGTTGTGAATTTCACGAGATTCAGTGAAATCATAACCCTAGGGGTTTCTACAAGCCCGCGACAGCTGGAGTTATCGATCAGTCTATTTTCGAACGAGTAATCTCAGATCTGAATAAATTGGCTGTGTGTTCAATATTAGCTAACTCGTATATATACTTGTAATATTTACATAATTACTATAGAAAAAAAAATGTTTTTCGGATTAATTGCAGCTCGTTTGCTATTTCAAGTTGCATAAAAGATAAAAAAAATATGAATAATTATATACCTACAAGATGAAATTCAAAATGTTATCGGTACATAAAACTAAGAATCTACCCATATTATAGAATATGTTAAACATATTGGAATGTATTGGACAGAAATTTCGCGAATTAAAAAATTTACAAACGACATAAAAAATTGAATCTCCTATACAAACTGTTTTTGACATGTCATACTCACTATAATGTCTAGACTGGTGGCGGCGTGGTGAGCCGGGTCGATGGACTCTCTATAATATGGTTGAACACAAAGATGGCTGACCCACCCGTTATAAGTATAACGGGTGGGTTATAAGTGAACGGGTGCTTCAAGTAGGGACTGGTCTGTTCAAGAATACGGTGATTAATTGTAGTTCTTTATCGAAATGAAGTTCGTGACTTTGTCCACTCTCAATTTTTGTTAACAACTTTTATTGGAATTAAGCAACAACCGAGATTCTTGCTCGTTCTTCTCAGTTGAAAATGCAATTAGAATTAGGCGTTACATTTATAACTTAATTTGTTGCTGTAGCCCTCATACATACATGCAAGATATATCTCCTTTGGAAAATACACTTTATGTCCTGAGGAGACAAAAACATCGCTATAAATAACATCTTAAAATTGCTATATATTGCTGATAGGAATTAGCAGCGAACGTTAAAAAAAAGGCGAGCACAAAAATTACAGAAAAGTAGTACATTACAGGTTTTTCTGCCTGAAAAAGTTCGTCTTTCAATTATAATAATAATAATAGATTTATAAAAAAAAATACTATTCATAAATGCTAAAGTACTTGCACCCAATTATGGGTGCAAGTACTTTAGCCATATCTGCACATTTTTATTATATATATATATATTTTATTATATATATATATATATATATATATATATATATATATATATATATATATATATACATATATATACACGCGCGAGCAACCAAATCGACTCAACCCTTGACGGCGCACATATGCATTAATTTTACTAAAACGACATATATATATATATATATATGAAAGTAAGATAAATGTTGTACAGATGAGAGCTTTGAGAAGTATGTGTGGTATTACTTTAAAAGATAGAGTAAGAAACAGTGTGATTAGAGAGAAGTGTGGACTGAAAGACGATGTAGTGACAAAAATCGAAAAAGGAATGTTGCGTTGGTTTGGTCATTTGGAGAGGATGGATGAAAGAAGAATTACGAAAGAGATTTATCGAGCAAGAATGAATGAAGATGTCGGTAGGGGCCGCCCTAGACGGACGTATGTCGACCAAATAGGCGACGTGCTGAAGAAGGGCCAAATTAAAAGTATCCGTAACCGGCGAGCGTGTATGACAAGATTGATGAATGTGGAAGAAGAGGTTTGTTTGAATCGAAGCATTTGGCGTTCCATTGTTTCTGCCTACCATAATGGGAGACAGGCGTGATAGATATGTATGTATGTATGTATATATATGAGCCCAATAACGAATATCTATAGTTTATCTAAAAATAATATTGGATAATAGACTTTTAATATATTCGAAAACAGATATCCGACTAATATGGACGATATTGAAATAAGTTATGACCTTTTTTTCCGCTATCAATGTCCTGGAAGACCCAATATACAGATATAAGATCGGTGTTATATGTATTACCCATGTCTAATTATTGAAGACATAGATAACTTTAAATTATTACCTAAACGTATTAGGATGTAAACTGTATCGTTAGAATTCTTAGATTATACCGAGTGATACTGGTTATATTTGTTATAAACAGCAAGCAAGATAATCATGTCTTTTAAACATAAAAAACAAAAACATAAAAAAAATACTTATTTCTCATGAAATTTATATTCTACTTTATATAATTTATTTTTCATTCTCTAATTCTTTTTTACTGTTCAAGCAAGGTTTTAAATTACAAAAATGAAATTACAGCCGGAAGCAATGAAATAAATTTTACTTTGAATTTACCTTATATAACTTTAATCTTACCGTACCTTATATACGATTGTGCCAAAAACTATTTTAATATTTTTAATTTATATTTACAAAAATTAATTTTATTATATTTTTTTAAATAATAAAATTAATTTATCTCATATTTTTTATAGTAACAGATTTTTTTCTTTTATGTATAACTTAAAATAGCAAACAAGCTGACGGCCCACCTGATGGAAAGTGGTAACCATGGACATAACAGAGTATACTCTTTCGCCCATGATACCCCCATGCGTTGCCATTTCTGAGTACTCAGGTGTTATTCCTCTGTACCCCATAAATTCACTGCCATATCATACCCTTTAAACCGAAACACAGCTATGCAAACACGACTGCTTCACGGTTGAAGCACGAATGGGACAGAGGTACTCAAGCAAACGACTTTTGTACAAAGTCTTCCTCTGGTATTCAATCACAGTAACTGAATCCATAATATATCTATCTCTCAAGAAACATCTTGTTTGTTGAGGCTCCTTACCCCTTTGGGTTTGCTGGAAGGGAACTCTTTTAGAGCTAAGTTCTTTGCTAACGTGTGTCATATTTCTATGTATTATTAGTATGTACAGTAAAGTATAAACAAATAAATTTCTTCTTGATACTTTTAT